TCATTTACATATGTATATATACATATGTATATATAAATATATGAATATATATATATATATATATATATATATATATATATATACATATGTATATGAATATATATATATATATATATATATATATATATATATATATATATACATATGTATATATGAATATATGAATATATATATATATACATATGTATATGAATATATATATATATACATATGTATATATACATATACATATGCATGTGTACACACACACACATATGTGTATGTACATATATACATATATAATGCCTGGGAGAAAGAATGTGAGGAGTAAGCTGTTGCTTAAGCAACAGTTATAGCTGAAAAAATATAAAGCGATTTTCTTAAGTTTTGGATGTTAAAGTATATTTCAATATTCTATGTCTTTTAATAACAAATTCGATGGGTGCATTATGGCGGGATATCCCCACAAGATAACTACCGTTTTGTTTTGTTTTTTGTCATATTTTTCCTGTAAAGCAATTGAGTGAATCCAGCTATAAGGCAAAAAGACCACCATAAATACGCGATTCATATTGGTCTCAGACCACTGTTACTAGTATTTTCTAACATGGACCTATGTGTCCACGTGTGCCTTTATGATAACCATTCGTGTTTGGACTGTCTGGTTTCCATGCATGGGAATATATCATCATAAAGTGTAACGCCCACCCGTTTCCTGCTCCTTAGCAAAGACCCTGTTACTCCTCTTTGCCCTGGGAACCACTCAGACCTTGTCCAGAGTTATACCTTTAGAAGCCACACTATAAAAGAATAATAGTCATACAGGTTATTTATGATCTAATTTCAGCCTTAGAGGTAACTGAGAGAAGGGTAATATCAAGACACTTACAATATTTGTTGATATATTGAGCGATAAATCATTACACTTCTACAATAAAGAAAAAAAAAAAAAAAAAAAAAACATTCATCAACCAAAATGTCCAAGTGCGTCTAAATCCAACCTGTCACTCTTCAACATTCTTCTTCTCAGATATCTTTTATTTCCTTCATCAATCCTATGAACTCCCAAAGATGTTTTTTTTTTCTTTCATTCTTGTTCACAGCACCAGGGACGTGAAAAACAAAACTTCAACAAAACCAAACAAACTAGAAAAAAAAACATTCCTACAAAAGAAACCATTATTCTAGTTTAGGAATGATAAAACAATATAAAGATATCAAATATAACTAAATAATTTCTTGAGGGACCAAAAATATTTCTTATAAACAAATTATGAATAATATTTATGTCATTATATACGATCTGAGTAGTTATATCCACATTATAATAATTTGGACTAAACATCATTTTAATATTATACCATTATAAATATTAAGAACCATTACTCTTTGAAGGGTTTTAAATTCTTAATAATAAAAAGAGAGACACATCGGGATTTTGTTCAAGTGCCACGTGCCAGCCACTCACTGTGAAGAAGACATACTCTTTATCTCTAATGTCCAGTTTGATCTCAAATAGTTACTTTCTTTCGTTCTATAAATCAAATGTATAGTATTTTATGACTTTATTAATTAATCATATAATTACAGCTGAATGTTCTTTCTTACCTCGGATATTTCACGATAATCCAATACACTTTCAGGCTGTTGTATGGCACTTCTCTCTGATCTCTTTCTCTCTCTATGAGTATAACTATAGTATCAGGTTTTAGCTTTGTATATATTTTAAAATTCAAAGTCTACTCAGATCACATATAGTACAAATATATAGTTCTTCTTAATCTATACATGCACATTTTTCAGAACTTAAATGACTCTTTCCAATAACAAAAATAATACATATTGTTTTCTTTATTAAAATGTCAATTATAAAACCTTAATATAACAGTATCATTAAAATATAACTGTGTACACTTTAAATAAAGAGAATGTATGGTGGGGGTAACAAATAAACTTTTACTTTGTAGGGTAAACTATCATATTTTACAGTTTCCTAATCTTAATAAAAGATAATATAAAAATATATAGAACTTTATGCAAAAAATAATAAAATAATGTATCATCTTTCTAGAAAAATAATTAAGTACTTATATCTTACATAGCAAAAGACTAAAACTGAGATACACATAATTAATGCATATGCATAAAGTGAGGTATACACAGAGTGGTTTCAAGACGATTATTGGGGTCATTCTAACTTCACATCCCTTGTGCTCATTACAAAAACTATATTATGATGTTACTATATGTGAATTCGTGTATTTGTACGTCCTTATAGCACTGTGTTGCAACATCGTCAGACAAATATGGCAGACAACAAGCACCGAATAGTGTTTCATTTTTCTTGTAATCTTTGGTATTGTATATATGATTATACAATTTATTTGACGAAAATTTACAGCCAGAGAGCCTCAGCTCTGATCTTCGTTCCTCTTCGGAAGGATAGATACATTATGTATATTAGCTTTATATTTTTATATTTATTTATTTATTTGTGCTGAGAGAAGGCTGGAACACCGACAGGCTGAATCTTCTCAATGTGGCTCTGCATTTATATAGTTATATTACGGGTTGCAAAACGAATAAGGAGGTTATTAGTACATTAGAAATTGTGTGTAAAGCTCGATGTCATTTTTGCTAGATACGTGTTAATCAACCGGCATGGAGAATCTAGTGAAATCGGTACTAACAGTTCCTGAAACTCTTGGCAAATTTACTGCTGTGACAATTGCACAAGCATGTGATGATCTTGTAAAAGACACTTTTATCGTAAAATTGGGCGAAGGTTATTAGAAAACAAAACCTTAGACTTGCAGACTACATCTGAACAAGCTTAGAAATGCCACAAAGAACTCTTTATTCAAAGATGAAAGCTAAAGAAATATGTTTACATAATAAAAACATTACTCTTGAGAGTGTCGATGTTGATTTCACCAACATTATAAATGTCTTTTTTGTGGAAACAGCCGTTGCCCTTCGAGGCAGAGTCTTGCTAGAGAGGACGAGTGTAAGACCTGTCATGCTAAAAGGCATTTTACTAGGATATGCCAAAAGTCCAAGAGTGTTAAGCCTACTTACATAATTTGTGGCTGTGACTGGAACTGTTTCCATAAGTCTGCGTACAATGCTGAAGTTATTAGAAGCTGGAGGCTTAAAATCCTGAAATAGGCAAGATTTTAATGGCTGATACTTCTTGATCATCAATGGTCACTGTGTGATATATTTGAGATTACAAGATAAATTGTATTTAAACTGGAAGTCTGAATTATTGCCCAATATCTGTTTAGATTTACTTATAGGCATTCTTCTTACATGTGACATATAGAAATGTACCTGTTTCTGCAATCTTTAGTGATCCACTCGAACCACCACATTGGCTGACATTTTAAAACGTCACCATTCTAGTAATGTGTTTGGTATTTTGTCCACGGGCCCATAAGGTTATGCATGCATGTGGATTGTTGTTTTATCTGTCGACATACTTTTTATCTTTACAGAGTTGATACAGAGTTTTACTTTTACTGTTGCTTAGAAAAGTGTTCCACGTGTCTTTGAAGCACTAATCGGTCATAGTTGGTCGCTGCTCTGTTGTTAGCATATCCTAAGTTGGGCATTATGTGACCACAAATGATGGAGCTCGATTTCACCTCGTCTTCGGTGATAAAGAGAAATGCATTTGTGGCACTGCAAAGGAACAGGGGAGGAGAAGGATGCCCTCTAGTCTGGCCCCTTTCGGATTTTTTTTCTCAAAAGTCAAGTTTAATTATATTATTCCTATGTCTGTTCCAAGTAAGAAATACTGCAACAACTAATAATTTTTTTTTTAAAAAATGACAACAACAACAATAACGGGGAAGATGATAATCGAGCTTCTGACGTTGATGGTGGAGGCGTTATTGGTCTTGAAGGTGGTGACATTGCTGTTTTCTCTATGTGTTGGTGGAAATTATTACTCTGTTGTTAGCGATGGTGTTATTGCTGGTACTACTGTTACTAAACCCAGAGGTGACATTGTTGTTATTGGCGTTTTGGTGCTATTGGAAATGGCACTGGTATTACCGATGGTGGTGTTACTGGAGGTGTTGCTAGTGTTGCTAAGGGTGGCATTGCGTTATTAGTATTTTCGTTCTTGGTGGTCGCTGTAAGGATATTACTTTTAACTGACCTTGTAACTTTTAAAAGGCGTTTTCTGTGCCTAAGGGTAAAAGTCAGTTTTCAACACATTTAAATACATTTTTATTCACAACAAACCATACTAAGTAACCCGCAGTCGAAAAGAAAAGAAATCTGTCCTAGGGCACGGAACGATTCTTTAGTGGCAGGAATGGCAAGCTACGGCAAAGCGGGAGAAGGGGGTGGGGGGCACGCTAGTTTTGCACTAGATGTTACACTATGAAAAGGGATGGAGAGAATGTAAACGAATAATGAACACCAAGTCCGTTCTCTTCTTAAATATGATGTTATTATGGAAGGCAATAAAAAATGGAGGAAGCAAGAACATTTTTAGAATTACAAATACACGAACAGGTGATAATTAGTGCTTATGCATGCAAGGTCAGAGGAAAAGTGAGCGACCACGTGATTCGAGGCAGACTGGACGCTTTACAATTACGAGGGAGCACAGGCATCAACAATCAACGTAACTATAAGAAATGAAAATGATTAGTGATAATAACGGTTGGTTTTGTTTTCCTTGTATTATTGTTGTTAATCCTGCTGGTATTGCTAGTGTTGAAGGAAGCAAATATCAATAAAAATAATAAGAATAAGAATACAAACTGGCGAGAAGTGTGAAAGATTGGACGAACCGGAGTGCTTCAGAGTTGCCGGTTCTCTATTTCCTGACATTTGACGGAATCATTCCAACCTTTTTTGTGCGAAACACCAGCATTTCACTTCATTTCATTCTCTTCCATTTATAACATAAGCATCGATATATTTGTATTTATGAAGTCTGTTTCATGAACGTGAACAAAATGTATGTGTTGTAGATGAAAGTTTAAATATAAATATAGTAATAATGAACGCATTTTCGGGCAGCTGGTCGGATTAAACCATTGGACGTGCTTACCTTCATGATATGTTCTTAACACATGTGACCACCATCAGTAAGTGTGAGTTAAACGCGGTTTGCACGAACGCTCTTCCGCTATGCTATCAAATCTAAATTCAACGAACTATGGGCGTGTTTTCCTTGTGTTAATTGTGCTTGTGTCTTTGGAAATATGCATGCGCACATTTGTGACCAACGGAACATTCCAAGCCATTAACTTCGCTCGTCAAGAACAGCAGAGTCAAAACAACTTGAATTCAAAGGCGAGGGACAAAAAAATTCTCAACGCAACCTCAAATGTAACCCCAGACACACGCGGTCCTGACATGCCAACAATACCAATTACCGTCAAGAATGTAAGTGTGGAAATCTCGTTCGAAGAGATAAAAAGAAGGCTGGATCAGAGGAATCGGATGCTGCGAGGAAACTGTTCTCTGATCGGAAATTTGAAGTCTCCTGTTCTGGTGGCCATTGACGTGATGAGGAATTACTTCATCGAAGAATATAATCTCTTTCTTTGTGTTTCTGCGAAGGTGATGACAAGTAAAATAATTAGATGAATAATTACTTGTTAAAATTATACATATAATGTGAATATAAAGATGAGAATAATTATGGCACTAATGATAATGGTGATAGTTATAACAAAAATAAAGATTATGAAAATGTTCATGAAAACTATGGTAGTGATGATGATAATCATAATAGTATTATAATAATGATAATGATAGGAGTAATAATGATAATAGTAATATTGATAGTAATGACAATAGCAATGAAAATAATTATAACAACTGTAATGATAATGAGTAATGATAATGATAAATACAATGATAATAAATATGATAACAGTAATAAAATTTATGATAATAATAATGATAATACCAATAATAGTAATGTAGAAAACGAATGAATGAGAATTAATATATTTTACAGTGCAAGAGATTAATCAGACCGGTCTCGGTTACTTAGATATAATCGCCTCTTGCTTTTTGATAATATCTACTCTCATTCAAACTTTTCCTACATTATAATCATCATCGCTGTTATCATTATTGTAAGCATTATCATTCTTGCTATTTTTTTTTTTTATTATTACTACTAACATTATTGTGATGATTATTATTGTCCTTATGATTATCATTATTATTATTATCGCTATCCTCCTCTTCATCAGTATCATTATCGTCACCAATTTTCACCTTAGACATACATACAGTGCAGTTGCCATCTGAACACTAAACGCTAAAGAAGAAATATTACTTTGCCTCCTAATTGTCCAAATTTAGATCTATCTATCTGTATGTCAAAATATCGGTTTACTTATTTATTTGTTCTAGCTGTCAGGCTAAGTGGGATCAACTTCACAATGGCTCCGTCACCGCATTCTCGAACACAAAGGCAAGTCAAATCAGGACAGGCCTACAGCTGAGCAAACCACCCTTCTCGGCAATTAGAGAACACTCTCACACTCACCCTTATGGCAGTACTGATTTCAAAATCTTGACTTCCCACCTTAACAGATTTGATCAGATCATAGCAGAATCACTCCACATCCTAACTATGAAACCACATCTGAACAATACTTCCACTGCAACCACTCTGGTAACATGTAAATTACCATCCAGCCATTATTTGGTTAATGTCTGTTATCTGCTACACTTGCTTTTTGATCTGTGGTCATTTGATAAATTTTCGTTTGTTTTTTTTTCTATGATTTTACATTATTTTTGTTGTAGTGATTATACTGTACTAGAATTAATTTCCCTGTTTTTGTTTTTTGTTATAGCACTGGTGATGGAGATTGCATCTCTGAAACGTTTGCAACTGCAATAATGGAGTTCTAGGCCTCGTTGGTTTTATTCCTAATAAGAATTCAGACTCATCTCTAGTCCATTATATGTATGTATATACATTATACATATATATGTATGTATGATGTATGTATTTATACTATTTATATACACATATGTGTATATATATGTACATATTTCAATATGTTTAATATTAATGTGTGTGCGCGCGGGGGGTGGGGGGCTCTCTCTCTTTGCTGAATGACCAATGAAACGAATGATAAATTACTTAAAAAAAGATGATGACTAAATAAAGATGAGAGTTTTATGTAGACAAGTATTGCTATAGAGAAAATAACAGAAAAGAAACGAATACCCGAGACAACCGATCCTTTATGAATTGGGAAGACTTAGTTTTTTATCATTACTTCAAATTTTGATGGACATTAAGTATCGCTCTTTTTATTGTGGTGAAACGATTATCATTTTCGTTGTTGGTATTATTCACATTATCCTTATGCCTTATTCACCCTTATTGACTTCTTCCCTTACTTTTCTGTTAACGTCAGACCATAATCATTACGTAGGAAGAAAAGCACATGTGTGGGACGTTGATCGAATATTTAAGATTAATGTTTGCTGTCGTAACCACAGGCTTCATTTGCCCATGAAACAAATTTAGTATGTTCGGCGCAATTTATCATCTAGAGCAATCATCATCATTCTCATTATTACCAATGTTGTTGCTGTTATTATTATGATCATTATAGTGATAATAATATTAATTATATTATTATCATTATTGCTATTCTTATTATCATTATTATTATTATTATTATTATTATTTAGAGACACTCTCACACTCACCCTTATGGCAGTACTGATTTCAAATCTTGACTTCCCACCTTAAACAGATTTGATCAGATCATAGCAGAATCACTCCACATCCTAACTATGAAACCACATCTGAACAATACTTCCACTGCAAACCACTCTGGTAACCATGTAAATTACCATCCAGCCATTATTTGGTTTAATGGCGGTTACCTGCTACACTGGCTTTTTGATCTGTGGTCATTTGAATAAATTTTCGTTTGTTTTTTTTTTCTATGATTTGACATTATTTTTGTTGTAGTGATATACTGTACTAGAATTAATTTCCCTGTTTTTGTTTTTTGTTATAGCACTGTGATGGAGATAGTGCATCTCTGTGAAACGTTGCAACTGCAATAATGGAGTTTCTAGGGCCTCGTTGGTTTTATTCCTAATAAGAATTCAGACTCATCTCATAGTCCATTATATGTATGTATATACATTATACATATATATGTATGTATGATGTATGTATTTATACTATTTATATACACTATGTGTATATATATGTACATATTTCAATATGTTTAATATTAATGTGTGTGCGCGCGGGGGGTGGGGGGCTCTCTCTCTTTGCTGAATGACCAATGAAACGAATGATAAATTACTTAAAAAAAGATGATGACTAAATAAAGATGAGGTTTTATGTAGACAAGTATTGCTATAGAGAAATAACAGAAAAGAAACGAATACCCGAGACAACCGATCCTTTATGAATTGGGAAAGACTTAGTTTTTTATCATTACTTCAAATTTTGATGGACATTAAGTATCGCTTCTTTTATTGTGGTGAAACGATTATCATTTTCGTTGTTGGTATTATTCACATTATCCTTATGCCTTATTCACCCTTATTGACTCTTCCCTTACCTTTCTGTTAACGTCAGACCATAATCATTACGTAGGAAGAAAAGCACATGTGTGGGACGTTCATCGAATATTTAAGATTAATGTTTGCTGTCGTAACCACAGGCTTTTATTATTATTATTATTATTATTATTATCATTATTGTTATCATTATCATAACTATAATTATTATTATCATTATCATTATCATTATCATTATTATTATTGTTATTATTATTATTATTATTATTACTATTATTATTATTATTATCATTATTATTTTTCATTATTATTATAATTATTAATATTATTATTAAAATCATTATCATTACTATTATTACTATTATTGTTATTATCATTATCAGTATTATTGTTATTATTATTATCTTTATCATTATCATTTTTACTGTTATTATTGTTATTATTTTTTGTTATCATTACTATTATGATAATTGTTATTATTATTATTATTATTATTATTATTATTATTATTATTATTATTATTGTTATTATTATCATTATTATTACTATCTTCATCATTATTATTATTATTGTCATTAGTATTAGTAGTAGTAGTAGTATGATCGTTATATTATTCTTATACTATTATTATATTATTATTGATGTTATAATTATTATCATTATCATTATAATTTTGTTATTACTAATATTATCATTATTGATAATTTTATCATTTTTATTATTGTGATAATTACTACTCCTAATACTAACCACAGTTATCCTTATCATTAATATTATTATCATTATTATTATTATTTATTACCTACATCATTGTTATTATTGTTGTTGTTGTTGTTATTGCTATTATCGTTATTACTATTATCATTATCATTATTATTATTATTATCATTATATTATTATTACTATTTTCATTATTATTATTACTATTATTAGCATTACTCTCAGTATTATTATCATTATTATTAATATCACTGCTATTACTTTCAATATGATTTTTATTGCAACTGCTACTTCTATCTTTATTATTACTATTATAATTACTGTCATTATCATCAACGCTATTATTATCATGATCATTATTATGATTATTATTCTTATTATTAATAACTCTTTTATTATAATTTATTATTATTATTATATTATTAATATTATTGTTATTGTTATTATTAGTAGTTGTATTACTGTTATTCTAATTTTTATTACTATTATTAGTTGTTATTATCATTATCATTATTATTATTACCGGTATTACTATCATTATTACTGTTATTAGTATTGTTATCATCATCATTATCATCATTACCATTTCATTATTACTGTTGATATCATAATATCATTATGTATCATTATTATTATTATTATTGTTATCATCAGTAGTAGTAATATTAGTAGCACTATGATTATGATCATTATCATCATAGTCAGTGTTTTATCATCATTATTGTTGATATTATTATCATCATTATTGTTAATGTTATTATTATCATTATAGTTAATATTGCTGTTTTCATCATTATAGTTAATATTGTTATTATCGCCATTATTATTATTATCATCATTATTGTTATTATCATCATTATCATCTCCATATTTAAAAATAAATAACTAGTATAGAAATACAGGTAATCAAACATAATCCTTTATTAATTAGTAACAAAATACCTGTAGCTTTTTTTAAATCATACACATCCTAATACCTAATGATTTTTTCTTTCCCAACAGGGTGGCGCAACGACATGGAAATCACACATGCTAAAGATGAAAGGACACCCAGGAACTAATGTTCATAAGGGTTACAATGAAAAACGTATCAGAGCGAGGTAAGGCATCTCCGTATCCACCTCATAGCCATTCAGGTGTGTAAAGTTAGTGTAAACGTTGTGTGTTTTGGTGTATATATGTATATACGGCGCGTCTGTATCTTCTTGATATACACTCAGGATTTAGAGTTAAAATATACGTAGCGTGTATCGATATACATGAAGGGTCTACTGCTGTGGTGTACGCAATATGCAGGCACTAACATACATTAATGTAATGTAATCGATGTGTATATATCAATGCAATATACGAAGTGATAATGGTAATGATAATAATAATAGTAGTAGTAGTAGTAATAATAATGATAATAATAATAATAATAATAATAATAACAATAATATTAATAGTAATAATAATAATAATAATATAGTAATAGTAATAATAATGATAGAATAATAGCAATAATAATAATGATGATGATGATAATGATAATGATAATTCTAATAATAATAATGATAATAATAATAATTATAAATATATAATAATATATGTGTATGCAAACAAATACATACATGTACACTTCTATGTATTTCCGTTCATTCAAATGCTGCACCCCGGTAAGGATGCCCAGAATCGCCGACCGCTTTTCGGGGAAGGTGACAAGCGTGATCTCTGTGCGCCACCCCTTGTCTCGCCTCGTGTCGGCGTACGGAGACAAGTTTGGCGACGGAAAGTCGTCTGCTGCCACGTGAGTGTGCTTAGGCTGTGGTATACCTCGGTGCACATATTTTCTCCATTTCTTTTATCATATGCACAATCACAGGGCGAGCGGGCGTGTCTCATACTTTACCGTTTCTCTTGTCCCTGCTCTGTACTTATCATATATTCAGTGTTTGATGTACTTATTTTAATTCATATGTTGTCCAGTGCCGTTTTGCATTCTGTCAGTCTGTGATCTATTTAAAAAAATTACATGTAAAGGTTTATATATCTATATCTATATCTACACACACACACACACACACACACACACACACACACACACACACACACACACACACACACACACACACACACACACACACATACACACACACACACACACACACATATATATATATATATATGTATAGATATATATATATATATATATATATATATATATATATATGTGTGTGTGTGTGTGTGTGTGTGTGTGTGTGTGTGTGTGTATGTCTGTGTGTGTGTGACTGGATGCAAATGTTGAAAAGTGTTGGTGCAAAGACACAGCCTTGCCTCACCCCTGAATTAACAGGGAAGTTCGACAGGCCCTTAACAC